ACCTTTAACTTAAAGCAAATAGTTGGGGAAATGAGGACGAACCCAATCAAAATCTCATAGTTCCATTGACCTGGAACGTCATGGTCTCTAATTGACTTATTCAAAGAAGATAATCGACCCAACCTACTAAAAGATTCTCGGTTGCAACCATAGGCTGCGTCATCCAAGGGGCAATAATAAATCCGAAGTGAAAGTTTATCTATGGGGATAAATTTAATTCCACTTCACCTGATAGAAAATTTTGTGTCAATCAAATGAACCATTATAATTCACAAATTAAAGAGTAAAAAACATTCAGGAAATATGCAAGTTAAGACCATGACCATAATATAAAAATATCATTTGGAGGCAATCACTCGATTAGAGTGATTTAATCGTAACTGATACTTTATGGTGTCATTTGACATCAAAATCACATGGAAAAGGAACTTGGGTCACATTTTTACTAGTATGAGATTATGTTGACTGTGAATATGATGATACACTCGATATGATATTAGTTTTTAATAAGTTAAAGTCAAAAAAAAGTTTGTCATGTTGGGTCACATAAAGATTTATTTGCATTAAAGCTCAATTTTTAATTTAATCACTTTCAAATAAAATCGAATTTTAGACTTCTAATTCACAATTTATGTTTCCCTTTATTTCAATTTTTACACCAATTCAAAGTCCAAATAATTTAGTTTTTTAAAAGCATTTGCAAGTACAAGATCACCATAATTTTTGGCAACCTCAAGGCGTCATCGCTGCTTAGAGAGTTGTATCAGATGTCTGGTCTGCTCAGTTGTCTAAAAGACATGTTGGTCAATCTCATAAGACATCACAGCCATAGAGAATCTTCTAATCTATCAGTCTATAAGATACGAGTAGGCCTCTGATTATCCTGTATGAAAATAATGCAAGCACATTTTCCTGCATTTATTCCTTTGCTTGTGAGGTAGCGACAATGACAGTGAAATGTGATCGAAGAAAAGGTTTTTTAGTGATTAGGGATTTCGGCTTACTCGAGTGATGACAAAACATAAAAAATTGGGGACATGGGTTTGAAGAAGCAATGCAAGGCTGAAGTTCCTCTCAAGTTTGGCCTATGTACTGGTAAACATAGGATAGCCAAAAGAAATCAATAGTGTCTCCAGAGATCGCGTAAGCACATGGAGGCAAGAAAAATGGGAATTTTAGAATACTTTGTATGCTATAGTCCCATAATTGCTCTTCCTATTGGCTTTAGTCGTAATTGTATTGCAATGGAGATGCACATGAGAGAAAGATGGGAGTATTGAAGGTCACTGTATGCAGCGATCCCACTGATGTCTTCCCAACCAGTCCTAGTCGTGAGTGTATCTTGAGTGATGCAGGTGAACAAGAAGAGTAGAAGCTTCAATGAGAGATTTTGCGAATAAGAGTTGAAGTGGAGTTGCGATTTTGCTCGAACGGAGAAGGATTGTGTACTGCTTCGATGTGCGAATGGAGCGGAAAAGCAGCTTTCTTGCGTGTGAAATAGAAAGCAAGTTGTGGCAAAGGCTTCAGTTCGAACATGAACAACAAAGACGACCGACAAGGGCTAGGGAAACAATGGTTGTGCGTGCAGTACGAAGAAGAATAGAGAGTTTTAGAAGTCTCCATATGCAGGAATCCTGTTGTTAGCTTTTCGATCCAATCATTGCTTTTCCCGAGAGCAAACGGAGAGAAAGAAGAGAGTTCCAGAGTTCTTTGCTCGTTTCGATCCAATCGTTGCTTTCCTTGCTTGCCCTAATCGAGACTGTATCACAAGAAAACGACCGAAAAGGGGTAGGGAGGCAAGCCAATATAGAAGCAAGGCTAATTTCATGCGAATACGAAGTTTTATGCATCTATGTGTGAGATGCGATAAAGTTGGGAGGGAAACGAGAGGGCTAGATTCTTCGGTTTCTTGTGATATCCCTACTAAAGTGGAGTGAGGGCCCGATTTTAGTTGTTGTATGTGAAAACCAAAGGAGAGCGAGGAGTTCCTCTATCATTTGGCGGGAGTAGTTACTGTATTTTTTTTATTATTCATCTTTTGTGGTCAACACTACATAAATTTATATGTCTCAACTTTATCAGCTCACAATATATTCCAACAATATGATAGATGAAGAAAAAAAGTAGCATATGTTCCAATTCAAGTATAACAACTTGGATTATAATTTTTCAAGCACTCCTAAGAGGTGTACAAAAGGATTGATTCTATCTATTGTTACTATAAATTAGAATATATTCATCAATTTTTCAGTGAAAGGCCAAAAACATAGCTCATAGTTCTAATAAAAGTGCTTTGCATGTATCTCAATTTAAAAGGCTTTACTACCTATCCATGCATATCATCTTTATGTTAATGGTATTCTATTCATCACCGTCTACCATTCCAACTTGATAATAATCATTCTACAAATCAATCGTTTAACCAAAAAAAAGCTCTAACCATCATATCCAATATACTTCGTCACTTACATAAGAAAATCAATTTTTAATAATAAACTTATTAACCACTCGAATATCCACCCACATCCTCTAATTATTATTCATAGATGTAAGTGGGGATGTCAAAAAAGTCCGTTGTCCGCAAACAGCTCGTGTTCGACTCGTTAAGTAGCTCGTGTTCGGCTCGTTCGTAAAGTAAACGAGTCGAACATGAACAAGTTTTTAAAGCTCGAATTATAAACAAGCCGAACATGAAAAACTCTTTATTCGCTCATGTTTGGCTCGTTTTAGCTCGAAATTAAAAAAATACATAATTATTTATATAGTAATATATTACATATATTATTTATATAATAATATATTATATATATTTATATCTAAATTTAAATCATAACTTCTCGTGTGGTAATGTGGTTAGTGCTTTCTTTTGTATACATTTGGTCCATGTTCGAATCTCACACTTTACATCTATTTTTTTAAATTTAATTTTTCGGAGCCAATTTCGAGCCGAACACGAGTCGAACACGAACACGAATATTTAAATCGAGCCAAACACGAACACACTGTTCACGAGCCAATTTCGAACACGAGCCGATTTCGAACACGAGCCGATTTCGAACACGAGCTATTTCGAACGAGCCGAACACGAGCCAAGCCTGAACTCGCTCAAGCTCGGCTCGTTTACAACCCTAGATGTAAGTAGTGCAAGATCCACATTATAACTCAGTTTTTTTTTTTAAAAATCCTTAAGAAATTTTTTCTACTTATTTCTTATATGTTAAATATTTCAATTAGATTCATTTTATAGTGTGGCAAGCTAAAAAATGATCAAGTATCAAATTAAAGGCATATTGTGTATCCACAAGTGAAGGTAATTCCTCAAGAAACTCATCAAGGCATGGTTCCTTATATTCAAATAGTAATGGATAACATCCTAACATATCAGCATACTCTCACTCACATCAATATTTATTTGAATTTACCAATGTATAAATCACTCCATATGCTTGACTCTATTTTTCAAAGTATGTTGATACAAAATATGCAAAAACAACATTTTTCTTAACCAAAGCGCTGATAGGTTAAATAAGACTATAAATGAATAAGAACATTCATTAACAATAATAAAATATAAAGCTCATCGTAAAGTTAAAATATAATAAAAAAAAATGTGATACAATACTTAACTTGAAAACAAACACTGAGGTTGAATCTGAAAATTAAAATTTTAAACAATCTCTAATAGTTTGATGCAATTATTAAAAAATTAAAAATTGCATTAAAAAACCTGCAAATTAACTTTGGCACTTTGAATCGAGCTTTAGCGTAGCGAAGTGATCGTTCACGCGCTTTGTTAGTGAAGCGCACTTCGACGCGTTCTTTTAAAAGCATTGTTTAAAATCTACCTGATTGCATCAATTATAAAAAGAACAATGATTTTTAATGTTAGACTTCACTTACTGGAATAGATCCTATGACAAATACATTTTCTAATGGTTGCATGCCAAAGTGACAATAAATTTCTAAACCCCCTCTCTTTCAGAAATGCAACTTTGGTAGACAAAGATGACTATTTCTATACAATCCATAAAGTTTAGAATAGAGAGCTGTAAGAATTCTTTGCCAGCATCGAGCAAAGGAGAAAGGGTAATGGTTTTCCCAGGCAGGACGTGCTTGGAATGTAGTTGTTGTTGGCGGTTGGTTTCGATTCATGTTAAAATTAATTTGTGTATTGTTGTTCATTCCTTAAATTTATATTATACAACTTATATTCATAGGTATATGCCGATTCAAGTGTTAAATGTTCAAATTCAATTGTGACAGAGGTAAATTTTTAAGGACGTTTACATACATACCGCACAATTCTCATGACTTTACATATCTAACACAAACTTTAACTTCTACAATTGTAATACACAAATTTATACAACATCAAAATTACCACGATCACAATTTTTAAAATGTGAAATACATCTTTCCATGCATAGGCAAGGTGGCATTAATCTAAATATCAATGTTTAGAAGTTAGATAGGTAAATACATTAGAATTGTGTGGCAGCTATGTAAATCTTCCATTTTTTTATACATGTGCTCAAATACTGAATATTCTCACATCTGGCCTTGCAACATTCCTCAAGGATACTTTTCATTATTTGGGTGAACTTTTGACTATGCGTGAACATGAGATTGTACTTAGCTTGATTTTCCGCTGCACTTATGTTTTGCTGATTGAATTCAATGAGTTTGCAATGTGTCGTGCTCCACCCAGCAATCAGATTCATAAATTCCACAATATATAATGAAATGATAGAAGAAAAAAAGTCAAAAGGATAACATAATACTTTAACCAAGTTTAGATAGCAAAAGATTTGAACAATTCAGCTTTTTAAAAGACTAGTTAGTTATATTAACAATTAAAAATAGAAAAATGGAAATAGAAATAGCAATAAGCATACAATTAAAAAAAAAAGAATGGTAAAAAACACAACAGAAAAACACATTTCCTAAAATATTTAATGACACCCAGAATATGACTGAGCATGATGGTTCATAAAGCTTACTTGGAAAATTTGTGTGGCCTGTTGTAGTAATTCACTTTTGCCATCCTGAAATCTGCCACTCAAAAGTTGCCAATGAACATGAATTTTAGTTTCCTTGTGTAATGTGCTTCTTATAGAAAAAGGCAGTGAAGTCAAAAGTGATTCAGAGATATTTCTGGGCCCTTCTTGAAAAAAATTCAAGAGATCAGCACGGACTTTAATGCATTTGTCCCCACAAAGCCAAGAATCGGGAGGGTTCGGCCTTTCCTATCCATGACAATTTGACATTAGTGTTGGGCATAGGGTGTTGCTTGAAGAAAAATACTTATTTTAGTTATAACATGGAAAATATTTACACCTTGATGTCGCATATTCCATGAATCCTTAGACACCCAACATGAAACATTCTACCGCACTACAACAGAAAAAAGATATGTAAAATTAATGTTCATTAAGTGTTCAACTATAATAAAAGATAGAGAAAAATAAGATATTTACATACTTGGCCACAAAATAGCATCGTAGTGTCACAAATGTTCCCATAATTCAGAGTGGCATCATCGTTTCTACCATGAAGTATAGCACATGAAGCACTCATCAATTTAAAAAAAACAGCAAGAAAAGTTCTTTTGATGCTAACCAAAAATTCAAATTTAATGAACAACGTTGAATAGTATTTTGCTCATGCAATTGTCCTGATTCCAAATTAGATGCATTAGAAGCCTAAATGATAGCAAGTTAATTAAGGACCAACACATCAAAGAAAGATGGAAATACTATTTGAACTTATTAAATGAGAGTTTTAAAGAAGAAATTGTTTTTGAAGAGTATACCAAATAAAATAATGCCATATCATCAATTAATCCAAACGATAAAACAAAATTATATAGTCCTTTCACAGATATATTTGTTTCACATTTTGTCCCTAAGTGTAAAGCCATTCATTCACTTAAGCATGCTTATCTTAGCAACACTTAACTCAGTTTTATGCTTCTATTTTATAGGCCAACATTCTACACCATAAAGCATTGCTGGTCCCACCACCATCTTATTAGATTTTCCTTTAAGTCTAAGTGGTGCTCATCTATCCCACAATAGGGCCAATGCAATCCTCAACTTCAACCATTTAACATGAATTCTACAAATAACACCACCATCTATATCGTCATCATTTTGAAAAATACACGAAAGATATCTACAAATGTTCACTCATTTTAATCAACCATTATTGCAACCCCTCCACCAGATCTACTACTACTAAAACTACATTACATGTATTCAGTTATAGAGTTACTCAAACAAAAGTCGTTAAATTCTAATGTTGACATCCATAATTAAAGTTCTTCCTGAACTCTTTCTCTAGCCTTATCCACAATAAAGATATAGCAAAAAACATTCACTAAGGTGCATCCTCCTGTAAATATCCAGTAAGAACATCCATAACTAAAGCAAAAAAATATGGGCCTAAAGTGGATCCCTGATATAATCCAATTGAAATAGGAAAATACTTGACTAATTCTCCTTCTGTTCGAACAAAAGTAACACCTCTAGTATAAAGATATTTAATGACGTAAATAAAAGTCATACCAACATTTTCTTTTTAATTACTCTAAATTGCTTCTCTTAGTACCTTATCATAAGTTTTTCTAAATCAACAAAAATCATATGTAATCCCTCTTTTCTCTCTGTACTTCTTCATCAAGTCTCTCAATAAATATATAACTTCCATAGTAGACTTGCCCAGAATAACTATAAACTGATTTTGAGCAATCTTTATGTCACGTTTTAACCTATATTGAATTATTCTCTCCCATAATTTTAATGTCCAACACATTGACTTAACTCTTGTATAATTTAAACAATTTTGTGCAACCCCTTTGTCCTTAAAACTAGAGACCAGAATACGCTTCATCCACTTCTCGAACATCTTTTTAGTTTATAAAATTACATTAAAAAGTTTAGTGAACCAAGAAATTCTTGAATTCCCTAAACATTTTCATACTTCTATTGGGATATCATCAGGTCCTATTAATTTTCACCATTCATTTTTTCTTTAAAACCTCCTCAACTTCCATTTTACTAATGCAAATGTAAAAACAAAAAGTTTAAAAATTATTAAATATATTAAGATCACTAAATTTGATCATATTTTCAAAACTTTATTAAAAAATTTATCAAAATAGCTCACCCAACTATGATAAATATCCTCATCGAAGAAAAGCGTTTTATTACTATTATCTTTGATACACTTTATTTGAACTAAATTATCACTATTCTTGTATCTTTTTTTGGCTAATATATATATATATAAGTATATACATATATATATATATATATGTATATATAATGGCCTTCACCCCCTTTAATATCTAATTTATTATAAAGAACACTAAATATAGAATTCTTAGCATCACAAATTATTTTCTTAGGCTCCCTATGAGCCACTTTATATTTTTTTTCCAATTTTCTAAGCTTTGACATTAAAAAAAAAAATAGCAAGGCTTCTTATATTTTATCTTTTCTTGTATATTATTATTCCACCACCAACTATTTTTTATTTATAAAAGATATTCCTTTTGATTCTCCAAGTACATCCTTTTAAACTTGCTTAATACCGTTCTTTATATTATTTCACATTATATTAGCCTCTTCATGAACATACCAAATATTATGATTTTAAGGTTTACTCATAAAAATAATTTCATTTGTGTATTTTGAGTATCATAATCTAATTATATGATAATATGTTGTTGTATTTTTCATCATCCAACCCTTCAACTTAAAGTCAAAACAAAAAATCAATGATGAGTACTTAAATTTTCACTTGGAATGACCTTAAAATCTTTACAATCTCGATGATTACTTTTTCTCATAAGAAGAAAATTAATGTATTTCTTAGATCCATCCTTCTAAATGATAACATGTTCATCTCATTTCTTAAATAAATTATTAGCAAAAATAAAATCATAAGTTAAAGCAAAATTTAATATTGCTCTACATTCTTTTTTAATCGCTCTAAAATCGTAGCCACCACGAATAATTCTAAAATCTTCTATCACACAACCAACATAATGAAAATTATTTCTTCAAGAGGTATCATTTGCATTAACACTTCTTGGTCATTCCAAAATTTTTCTTTTTGAGCATATATCTAAACCTACTTGAGGCGCATCAACGTTTACAGCATTAAGAGTCTTAGTATAAATAACAATCATTAAAGATATAATTTTCTCCAAATTTATTAATCTTCACAATATTATCTTTCAAATTCTTATTCATGATTAGTTTCATGAACCAGGTTTTTTCTCGCATCCATCAATAATGCGGGACTCCTTATTTCCTTAACGCCACCCGTCGGTGACCCTTGCACATTTTTCAATGTATTTAGGTCATTTTGTGTGTTGCTTCTACGGGATGCGCTAGCATCATTTACACAATGATTTAAAGGATTCATGTCATGAGTTTTCAACAAAATTTTACGTTGATTGTCGCTACCTAACACAGCCCCCGACTTTTCACATCTAAGGCTTAGGACTTGGCAATGTTAGTGTTATGCATCAATTTTAAATGAAAGCTAGAAATAATTAAATCCTTGTTATTGTATAATGAAATCATCTACAAATGATCCTAATTTCTGCTCACATAATTCTTTGCACCGTTGATGTTTAAGCTACCGTTCAAGAATGAAAGCTTTTAAATAAATGAAGCTTTTGGGAATCAATAATCAACTATTGTCATATCATTATTTCTTTAATATGTAGTTCATTGTTTTCATTTGATATTAAAATTCACTCACTGCCATAGTTTGAACAATGAAAATTACTTACATGACCAAGCATGATTTGGATAATTGCTTTACACATACGTTATCACAAATCTAAATTTCATAGCATAATTATTCAGCAAAAACTAATCCATCATCATTTCCAACAATTCTGATTCAAAACCTAAGCTATCAATCTCCTTATTTTTTTCTCCAACTCATTTAATTTCTTAAATACATAAGATAGTTTTCTTCTAATAAATCAAAATATCTACTAATTTCATTATTTACCTGTGAGTATTTATATTTCAAGATTCTATCATATTATTAGTTTTATGGACTAACTTTTTTCTCGCATCCATCCATAATGTGAGACTCCTTATTTTTTAACACTACACCCGTACACATCAAAAGGACAAAAGATACTTATATGGTTCAACTCTTCATGCTTAAATTCACAGGAATCAATAAATATTGTTGTGAAAAAAATATATTTGGAAACATTGGGCATTTACATGCATACCAGCCAAATTGAAATAATGTTCAAGAAATGTCTTCCAAAACTATCTCTCTTCCAGTTAGACTGCAGAAATTAGAAATAATGGGCGTTTACATACATACCACCCAATTGCTATGTATTTACATATTTAACACCTAAAGAATACCTTTTACATTTTTACCACCCAAATCTTTCATATCACGTCAAAAATACCGCTATTTTAATTTTCAAAAAAATGAAATACACCGTTTCATGCATATAGGTAGGCGGACATAGATGTAAAAATTGAAGTTTAGGTTTTAGATAAGTAAATAGATAGGATTTAAATGGAATGTAATTATATCTCCGTTGACGGAAAAAAGAGAGCGTTCATAGCAAATGGCCTCTAAAATTTCCTTTCGGATGGAACTGAATAGCAAATTAAAATTCTATGCCCATCTGGATCTTCATAAGGGAATCAACTTAAATATACATAATATTGCAAAGAAAACAATTCAACGGATGATGCAACAAAAGGTTGAAATTAAAAGTTCAAAAAAAGTTAGATGAAGCAAATCAGAATCTATACGTCAGAAAACATACCTGCAAAACATGCAACTGCCTAAATTGCAAGGAGCTTGAAATATACGCCCAAATCCAAAGCTAAATGAACTGCAAGCACTAGAACTTTGTTCACCTTCATCAAATATAATTTAGTCAAAAAGGTCTGCAGAAATTCTCTAATTTATTCGAAATAACTAAATTGTCAAAATTTACGATTTGAGATGTCTATTACTATTACAATTTAACTAAACAGTTAAAGTTCATCTCCACAATATCGTTTATGAGAAATCCGCAAAGGAATGTCCGGGAACCTTCTATGGAGGATGTACGGCAGGAAATTCTCCAACTGCAACAAAAGTTTACCACCTTCGAGAGGCCATTCAAACGAGTCATTAGTCTACATAACAGTGACTTTCTAAATGGAGGAAATGAAGTGAATTTTTTCCATCATGCAGATTCCAAGGATGAAGAACATCTATCCCGAATATTTGACCTAAAAAATATCCAAGAACCCAGGATTTTGAAGTAACTATGGATTTTCCATAATTTGACGACCACTTGGAAAGGGACGAGTTCATCGAGTCACACCAGACTGTGGAAATTTTATTCGAGTATCAGGACATCCCACCGGACAGAATGGTGAAACTAGCTGCTAGCGCTTTAAAGAAGAGTGCATTATTTGGGTGATAAAATTTGAAACACTAACATTTACGCGAGAGGAAAGATAAAACACTATTTGGTCCCATATGAAATGGGAGATGCAACGCCAATATATATCAGTTCATTACGAACAGAATATACAGACCCTAACTTAAAAAATGAAGAGATAGTGTTACCGGATGACCACATCTTATAGGCAAAGTTCAACCAAAGATCTTATAGCAAGAGTACACTCAAAGGAACATCCAAGCCAATCTCACCCATGGAGTCAAAGTACTGCATTTCCAAATTCATCCCAATTAGGAAGTGTTTCAAGTATCACTGATTTGGGCATATTCAATTAGATTGCACAACCAAAAAAATGATCTATTTCACTGATTAGGAAGTAGTTGAAGAAATAAATAGTGATCATGTAAAAGATGACGATTTTAGAGAGGTTCCTCAACTGTCAACCAATAAAAAAGAGACACCAGCACTTTCAACTAACCCCATGAGCGCGACTTCAGTTGAATTAACAATAGTTGTTCTAGACCAGTTTGAAAGATTGCCCACTAAAGACCCTAATCAACACTTAGCGAACTTTCAAGAACTAAATGCCATCTTTAGGTATAACAGTGTCTCTAATGATGTTGTTAGACTTAGGATATTACCTTTTTCACATAAAGATAAGGCTATGAATGTAGTTTAATTCCTTAGCACCAAGGTCCAACACCACATGGACTGACCTACCAAAAAATTCCTAACAAAACTTCCCATCCACTAAAAATGGCATCATGTTGAAGAATGACATAACCTCTTTTGCCTGGTTGGAAAGTGAGTAAATCTATGAAGCCTACGAGAAGTTTAAGGAGTTGCATAAAAAATACCCACACCACTCCTACCCAAATAGGTTGATAATTCAAACTTTTTTTATAACGGGCTAGTGAGATCGTTGAGTTCTATTATAGACGCTACAGTTGGGTGTTTCTTTAATGTATAAACCTTTTGAGATTTATAAAATTATAGAAGTAATGGCTACAAACAATTTTCAATTGCCTTTTGAGAGAGTCAACCTCAGAAGAATAGCTAGTGTCCATGATATTGATGTGTTCGCAATTCTCCACTGTCGCTGCTGTCCAACCCTCTTTCTTTATTATTGTCACCAACATTGCTCCCTATTGTTTGTTTGTTGCTCAACTCTGAAGAAACAACATCCTTGTTATTTTCTACTTGTCAACTCTATTTTCGCCCCCCACGTCACCTTCGAAAATCTCACCAACCACCACAACCACCCTTTGATCCACCCCTAGCTTGAGTTTGCAATGTAATTGTTGCAATTTTAGATTTTTGCATGTTGGTTGTAATATCCCATTTGATTTTCATAATAAAATTCAGTTTTCCTATCATTTTTTGGTCATCTCAAATATCAATTGGTATTAGAGCTAGTCTAACCCTAATTTTATCCGAGAGTTTCTAGTATCCACTAATATATAACCACACCTCCATACAAAAACCTTCCCTTTGCTGATTTTTCTAACTAGCCACTAAAAAATTTTCTTTCCCATCACCCAACATCATCCCTATACATCCTCTCCCACCTACCCAAACTGAAACCCCAACCACGCCACCGAAGAAACATTTGTCGAAAACTTGTTCGAGGAGAAATGCCACAATATCGTTTATAAGAAGCTCACAAAGAGATGTTTGGAAATCATCTCTGAGACGGAAAATCATTCCATGCAACAACGACTTACTGCCTTTGACAGGAGTCAATTTGAAAGGGTCACTCATAGTCATAATAGTGACTTGCCAAGTCTAAAGAATAGAGTGAATCCCTTTGATGAGGCATATTTTCGAGATGAAAAACCACTACCTGAAGATTTGCATGAAATATCAAAGAATCCAGAATCTTAAAATAAAAAGTAGATTTATTATATTTTGAAGGCTATATTGATTCGAATGAGTTCTTTGAGTAGATCTGGATAGTTGAACGTGTATTTGAGTAATAGGAAGCCCCACCGAACAGAATGGAGAAACTAGTAGCTAGCAAAATAAGTAGTGCATTTTTTTGTTGAAAGAACTTGAAGATTATTCGACAGTGAGAAGGGAACAATATAAATACTATTTGATCTAAAAGATGAAATGAGAAATGCAGCGTCAGTACCATCTACTTTTGTACATGCGGGATGTTTCAACCCTAGTGTCAAAAGCGAATAGACAACATCATGTTTTGGACAGGTAGGATGTTTCAACCCTAGTGTCAAAAGCGGATAAACAACATCATTGGATGACTTTCACATCTTACAGACAAAGTTTAACCTAAGAATCAGGTAGCAATAGCACACCCAGCAGAACATTCAAGCCTATCCCGCATAAGGAAACACTAGTTTAGAGCGGAGAACAGATGATACCAATCCGCATTCTCAAATTTGTCCCTAGTAAAAGTGTATCAAGTGTCACAAATTTAGGCATATTAAATCGGATTGCCCAAACAGAAGAATGATCTCTTTCACTGATCAGAGAGCAGTTGAAGTAATAAACAATGATTTAGGAGAAAATAAAAATTTCAGAGAGGATTATCAACTTCCAGCATATGAGAAAGAGATGCCAACGATTTCAGTTGAACCCAGGAGAGAGAGACCAAGTAAATTAATCTTGGTTGTGCTAGAAGGTAGTAAGTTTGAGGTAATGGGCATTCATGCAGAGTATGCGATTGTGGTGCCTTGAATTATTACTCTGCAAGCATTGAGAGAAGCATTAGTCCTGATATTAGATGTCCAAAAGGGTCATGACTTTGAGGAGTCAATGTCAGATACAAAACAACCTCAAATAAGAGAATTTCAAGATTTATAACCAAACTTCTGATTTGCCCCTATGGATGGAGATTCAACATATCAGAAATGACTCTTTGGAGCCCCTTCTATAAGACAATATAGTCATTTGGGCAGTAATATCAATTCAACAAAATACCCACCGACAGATGATCAGACAATATGGAAGCACCATGGCGTTGAAAATTGCCTCATGATCTTTTGGAAAAGGAACATCCTACAATAGGATCCAAATCCTACCGGAGAAGAAGAGATCTCTCCTGAATGGTTTCTATTGAGAGTTGCTTAGTCTGCCATATATTTAATCTCATAATTGATTCCTCCATACATACTTAATTATCAGATACACTCAGATGAGTATGAGTGGAAGAAGCCAATTACAAATTTGATGGATCAAGCTTGGTTCATGAGGATACTCATCCACATGCAGCTCCAATTTTGATTGTAGAAAAGGAGGACGAATATTTTATTCTATCAGGATGTGTTTTGAAATGACAACACCTAAATAATTGAATTATCAGGAGATTGTCATATTTCTACCACTTTCAACATGGCCAACCCGACGTACTATGAGGAGACAGAAGCTTCGATGAAGAGTTTGAAGCTCCCCAACCCAAAGAAACTGAAGTAGGAGTGTCTCCCACTTACGAGTGGGACACAGGAGTACCTCCTGCTTCTGAAAATGGAAGCACACACGAGGCTTCCCGCAATTACAGTACCTAGACTGATTGGTCCAGGCGGTAGAGCTAATAAACTCCTCTTAACTTGGTGCCTTCGTTCAACAATGGGCCCAATCCTAATTATCTAGGACATGTGTATTTACTTCATATGTTTAGGTTTTAAGTTTTTCTAAGTTATCACTTGGGAAAGTCGTCAATGTCTCCAAGTTTTCCTTTTCTAGGATTGTATTCAAGGGTGAGTAGTGATCCGATTATATTTGACTCCCGATGTGCTATTTATCCTCGATTTTCTCATCCTCAACACTCTCCCATCCGACTTGTTGTCACCTTCCCGGAAACTCACTTTGTTGTCAGCACCTCTAAAACGCCTTCTTTCTCGTTGACCCATAATAGGGTAGCACTCCTCTTGTTGTCTCACAGTCCATAACCCATCATCTTCGTTGTCATTGCTATTCTAGCCCTCCACCTTCACTGTTATTGTTGTCGAGCCCTCTATCCTTGCTACCTTCACCAATTTCAGCCCTCCATCCTTGTTGCCATCTCCCCAGACAGCCCTCCCACATCACTCCCTATTGTTTGCTTGTTGTCGGGCACTGGGGAAACAACCGTCTTACTATTTTTTGTATGACAACCACCTTCTCCACCCTTGCGCCACCTTCCACATCCTCGTTGACCACCACCACCCCTAACTTGAGATTGTGTTGTTATTTGTTGCAATTTCAGATTTTCACATGTTGGTTGTAATTTACTATTTCATTTCCATAATAAAATTTGATCTTCCTATTGTTGTTTGATTAACTCTCGTAACACCCAACAAAACTTATTCCAATACTTATAACCTTGATCGGAGAAATCACCAAAATTTTAATTGAAAAACAACAATCAAAATATAGGAAATCCGACTTGGGGAAGCAACCAACCTAACTCCTTGGGAAATTGAAACAATTAGGGTAATAACAATCTAAAACCAGCTTACCCGCCAT